TCCAAGTGTCCTTTTTATATTTAGTGACAGGGACTGGCTTATTCACTAGATATAGTCAATTTAACTTTAAGAAAGAAGGATCCTTTCATGGAAATAATCATATTTTATTTGTGATAATGTTTGGAGTTTATTTTAAAACACGTACTTGTAAGTGTATATTACTACTGTTAGTTACTATGACTGCAATAAATACATGGTGAAAGTGGTTTCAAGAACGTACCAGGTAGAAGTCTCAGCCTTTTTCTTTAGCTAGAAATGTGTTTTCATTAGCCAGAAATGTTTTCAGCTGTCATTTTCTATGTCCTCAAAGTATGTGCTATAAAATACCAAAATAATTTAATAATAAACCTCTAGATTTGACTACCAATTTATAGGAAATATGAGAGCTAGAAGAACATGTTAAATGGTGTCACTGTCCAGTGGAAAATCTACAGGACGAACTAATCCAGTTTTTTCAACAAATGAATAGCATTGGAGGGAGGGAAAATGTGGGTAAATTTTTTATATTAAAAGAGACTTTGGAGATGTATAAGCCAGATGCAACGTGAGAACCACATGTAGATCCTAATCTGAACAAACTGACTGTAAAAAGATTCTTTTGAGACAATTGGAGAAATCTGAATTCTCATCAGTGATTAATACTAAAGTAACATCTGAGATTTTATTTAAAATACAAGAAAAGAAATAAAGGTGAAGGTAATAGATAAAGCAAGAATGTCAAAATAGTAATTTTTGAAGCTGGATGGTGTAGGTTTGAAATTTTTCATAGTATAAAGTTAAATTAAAACACGCACACACGCCGGGCTCGGTGGCTCAGCCTGTTTCCACGCCTTTGGGAGGCTAAGGTGAGTGAATTGCCTGAGCCCGCGGGTTCGAGACCCGCCTGGGCAACTTGGCAAGACCTCATCTCTACAATAAGTCAAAAATTAGCCGGGCGTGGTAGTGCGCGCCTGTATTTCCGGCTACTTGGAAGGCTGAGGTGGAAGGATTGCTAGAGCCCAGCAGGTCGAGGCTGCGGTGGCCGGGAGCAGCCACTGTACTCCAGTCTGCGTGACAGAGTGAGATTCCAACTCAAAAAAAAAAAAAAAATACACGTACACACACATATAATAGGAAGGAAAAAAAATAGGTCACTGCTGTAATAGCAAGCAAAACTATATTCACTTCAGGAACAGCAATTTAGTTTCAGCAAACAGCAGCATCCTGTACATGTGTGTTGAACTTGGGGTAAGGGAGGGAAGGTGTTTCCCAATCAGCCACACCTAGCCTCATTGCTCTCTTTTCCCACTTAATACCATGGAATTTTAAGTGATAATGCAGTGTTTGAAAATAATGATGAGCTCTGAGTGGAAGATTCATCTGACCTTGAGAAAAGCAAGTGGACCTAATGCTTTTTCCAATTGTAAAGTCCATTATATGGCCTTTCCTTGTGGCCAGGACTTGTGAGTTCGGATATTATTCTCTGATAAAAATACTTAGGCCAGGCTTTGTGGCTCAGCTTGTAATCCCAGCACTTTGGGAGACTAAGGCGAGTGGACTGCCTGGGCCTGCAAGTTCGAGACCCACCCGGGCAACTTGACAAGACCTCGTCTCTACAATAAATCAAAAATTAGCCGGGCGTGGTAGCGCGCGCCTGTAGTTCCAGCTACTTGGAAGGCTGAGGCAGAAGGATCGCTGGAGCCCAGCAGGTCAAGGCTGCGGTGGCCAGGAGAGTGCCACTGCACTTCACTGCACTCCACTGCACTCCAGTCTGGGCGACAGAGTGAGACTCCAACTCAAAGAAAACCCAAAAAAACACTTAGTTTACTACGGGACTTTTTTTTTTTTTTAACCTTTAATTGTTTTTGTTTAGCTCTATAAAAATGAATGTTCTTAACACATAATTTTGTACAACATAACTTACCTTCTGGGAATTTTTTTCTTTCTTGAGACTCTGATTTCATGGTATTTTTCTAGTAGAATATAGCCTGGGTCTAATGAGGACATGGACGTGAACACCATAGACACAGTTGGTATTTTGACACCTATGCCACAGCAAAGAGAGTTTGCGAAATAAATGAATATTGAAAGTAGTTTCTTCAGTGGACCTACTTTAATAAATTGAAACCTTTGTTTTCAGGATATGAAGATTTAACTCAGGTTAGCTGAGAAGATCTAGAAAAGAGCTCTCACAAATCTGCATCTTAGAACAAATGCCTTTTTAAAAAAATTCTCTAGTATTATTCTGCCATATCAAATTTAAAAGACAACCACTTTCACCTTTAATTTAAATTATTAGGGCCCAATATGTAAAAGTAGTTATTTTGCATTTGAACGTATTTGTGTAATCTATTTTATTAATATATCTGTATAATCTATTATATCAACTAATTCTTGAGTTCTCCGAGACAACTGTTGTTATTGTGACTCTACACAGCCTTTGTCACAATGATACGAAAGGATAAGGATGTCTTAATTAAGCCTGACTTTTCATATCTCCTAAACCCAGAACTGTTGATGATAGGAGAAGGTTTAAGTACAAAAATATGTGAATAAGACTGGATTTTGAAAAGCAGTACTACTAAGAGCATTTTTTAAATTATGAGGACTACCATAAAATAGTCATGGAAGTTGTATAGCTACTGGTAAAAATCATAGCTGTTGTTGTCTGTCGGGCACTTTACTAAGCACTGTATTTATAGTCTTACAATATGGAAGTGTGCTAAGTTTATGTGTACTACACAGAGTTCAGCTGGAGTTTTCAAGACTGTAAATGCTAGAAGAGTAATAATTGTTTCATAATCTGTATACTCTCTGAAACACTAGGGAAAGAGGTAATTTTCTTGAAGTAGCTGGAAGTACTGTAAAGAAGGCATATTTTCTAAAACATCTTATTAAAATTAACTGGCTTGTGTTGAAAATTGATTAAATTAATATAACCTGTTATCATGCTCTTTGACCCTTCCTGGAGTGGCTTTTATCCTAATTCTTAGCAAGTTTGCTATCTGAATTCATTGAACATCTAATAAAATTGTTGACAAGGAAATGTAGTTTTGACACTTCAGAAGAGACATTTTCCACTTAACAAAATTATGTTCCTACATTTGAAATTTCAGAAGCCACTAGAGTGAACATTCTGTTATTCATTTAAAGCTATTATATGAGCAGTTGTGTGCCATTTAGAGGCAACCAGCATTTACATATTTTTATTTAAAACATTTTAAAGTGCAATTTTATTTAAGATTTTATTATCAGTATTGGCAACCAAATTGACTAAGGACTTATTACAGTAATCCATAGGAATTAAGTATCTTGTATAGAATAAAATCAAATAAAAATCATGTACTGTTTTAAATATAATGAAATAAATGGTGTTTTGTTTTTAACTAATGGTGTTTTTCCTTAAAAAATTAAGTCATCACATCACTAATAACTTCCTTATACTTCAAAAATAGGCAGTTTTTTCCTATCCTCTCCTTAATACCTAGAGCAAACTTTCGGTTGTTCTTGGTAATATGAATAGAATGGTAAAGCCCAGAGAGTCCATTAAAATATATTAACCTGTATCTGAACTTTTCCCACCAAAATTTTTTTTACCAGAGCTGCTGTTGACAAGTAAACAGATTGGAATTGATTGCCTTTTGCTTTCCTTGGCGACATAATAGACAAATGTGCAATAAATGGTAAAAGACCAATAAAGCAATAAAAAGAAAAAGAAATAGCATTTAATCAACAAACTAGAGAATCCATTTCTGAATGTTTCTCTATCCCCTACCCTCCCTTATGAATTCCTTGTCAGCAGTAACTGTCTCATTCTTCCTTATATGACAGACATATCACTTAGGATAGTTCATTTAAGCCAGTGTAGATGATTTAGGCCAGAAACCTTAAAGAGCTGCCACGCAATGTTGTCATTAGTTTACTGTCTGCAGGGAAAATGAAACGGAAATATACAAAAGGCAGAAAGAATCTCTCTATGTTTGAGGGAAGGGGGCAGATCTTTTTTTAAAATTTTTTAATTTGTCTAATGTTAGCGCACATCTGGGAACCAGAAAGAAGCTCACTTTCAGTTAGGGATTTTGCAAAAGTGGAAACAGCAGTTTGTGGAAAAATATAAAACATATACACCTATAGTCAGCCTAAAATTGTATGTCACCATCCCCAGACTAATAACTAGAAATGTCACAATCTGAAATTACACACACACACACACACACACACACACAGAGGGTGCCAAAAAATGCATACGTATTTTAAGAAAGCAAAAAACTGTTTTAAAATTGTAGATTAATACAAGTCATGTTTGACTTCCGCAATTACAAGAGGTACTCAAAGTGGTGACCATCAGCGTCCAGACAGTTCTGATTACGGTGAACTAAAAGTAATACATAGAGAGCATCGCTTAAAATGTGTATACATTTCTTTGGCACCCCGTTGTCTGTGTGTGTGTATGTGTGTGTGTGAGACTATATATATGCAAGTTTAAAGTATTTGATGGCTAACCATAGGGAGAGAGAGTGTGTGTGTGTGTGTGTGTGTGTGTGTGTGTTTGATGATCAGCAACCACGTGGCAATGTATTTAGTATTTGTATTTGATAAATAAGTGTGAGAAATTTTGAGTGATATATTGCTTTTGTGCATTTAAAATGTGCCTTTTTTAAACGGACACCTACTAAGCAAATAACTATTAAAAGTTTAATTGTATTTTTTGATCATCTTTGCTTTTATTTTATGCTAAAAACTGCCAACCAGACAACATCTAAATGTATCTTTTTCAATATGACAAAGTTACATAAGAAGAGACTCCCCTTGCATGTAAAGAAAAATGCAATTATTTTCTATTCTGAATCTCCAGACTGCTGTTTTAGAAAATCATATCTGATTATTTGCTCAGCAGAAGATTATTGAGTTGATTTAGCTGTGATTTTACTTAACAAAGCATCAACTGCATTCCTACTGTGGAGTCCGAAAAAGGTAGAGAGATATAAATGATACATTCAAACTGTGATTTTTGTGAACAGGGCCATCGATGCACCCCTCGGAGCTAATAGCGGAGATGAGAAACAGTGGGTTTGCACTGAAACGAAATGTACTGGGGAGAAACTTGACCGCAAATGATCCATCACAGGTAATGATCTTTTTATCAGTAAGCTGAAAATGTCTATAAATCTAAATGTGATTGCTTGTGAATTGCTACTTAATGTTTTCCAATATGCATATATCCATAGGAAAGTAAGATAGAGCAAAGAAAATACCCAAAATGTATTTTGATTTTGCCTCTTTATTATTTTAACCTAAATGAGAAATTGTTTATAAACCTATATTTTAATAAATGAATCTGCTCCTCCGGGTTTATGTGGATAAAACATCTAACTGAACTGTTGATAAGGTTGCTGTTTTTTCCCTCCTGCTAACTTACCCTGACATAACATTAAATAGAACCAATGGGAAGACACATATAAAAACAAACCCCTAAAAATTGGAAACATTTTTTAAACTTATGTAATTTATTAAGCTGTACATAGATCAAGAAAATTAGTTTGAAGGGCTATATTATCAAATATTTGATAATGTATTGTTGAAATATTAAAGGCTAAAATTGTGGATATTTTGACCTTCCTATAAGGCTCATGATCTTGTTTTTTATATTTCATTACATTAAAAATAAAATATTTAAACTGGCAGGTGTTTACATTCAAGAGATAGAAAGCAGAAGCTATGCTATAAACATGTTATTTATGTTTCTCTATTGTCCTCTTCCTGATAGTTTCCTAATGCTGGCAAAGCAGCCGTGTTAGCCTCTTAGTGCATCATAGTGGAAGGTAAACCACAAGAAAATTTTCAAAATCCCCTCCCACTTCTCAACCCAAAATATCATATCCATCAATAGTGTGTCCCTAATACAAAACTTCTTACTTATACATGTTTTCTTTCTTAGATGCTAACTAACTGATCTTGAAATCTAGCAATGTAATGATGTCTTTGTTGACTCAGGAGTATGTTGCAAGTGAGGGTGAAGAAGATCCAGAAGTTGAATTTTTAAAGTCACTCACAACCAAACAGAAACAGAAACTTCTCAGGTAACTTTAAAGTATAAATTTAATAAGTTGATATTTCTCTTTATGTGTCATGTTAATATCACATTCAACTCAGATCCTAAGAGCTCATGAAAGTACTTAAACCGTGCATCACATTCATTAATTTATCCTTCACCTATGGCGAGTACAGTTTTGTCTTTCTTTTCAGTAATGTTGAAATGAGTGTGAGAGTGTATCCTCGGATTATACTACAAAGCGATTGCACTTTTCAGAACATTTAATTTGGAAATAGCCGGGTGCAGTGGCTCACCCCTGTAATCCCAGCACTTTGGGAGGCAGAGGCAAGAGGATTGCCTGAGCCCAGGGGTTCAAGACCAGCCTGGATAACTTGGCAAGACCTTGTATCTAAATAAATCAAAAAATTAGCTGGGTGTGGTGGCGCGTGCCTATAGTTCCAGCTACTTGAAAGGCTAAGGCAGAAGGATCACCTGAGCCCAGCAGGTCAAGGCCGCAGTGGCTGTGAGCATACCACTGCACTCCAGCCTGGGCGACAGTGAGACTCCAACTCAAAAAAAATAAAATTGGAAATAGACTCATTTGTAGCTTTTACATTTCATAGTAGATTAGTTGTATATATCTTTGTATATTGTTTGTTCTTAGAAAACATTTTTGGCCATTATTTTTTAATTTTGTAAAATTTTATGAGGAATCTAGAAAGAATGCTTAAATTTAAGGTCAATGTGAGTTTAGTTAAACAGATTACCTCTGGATTAAAGAATCTAAGAAATGTCTCCTGAGCCCAACAGAGGGAGCTCATGATGTTTGCAGTATGTGGAGTTTTGAGAATGACAGGACCCAAAGTGGTTTATTTTCATAGTGATTCAAGTATATCATAAAAACAATTTGCTCTTCTGAGAACGAGAATTACATTTCAGAAATTCAGAATGTCTTAATAGGATTTTCCTAATTACTTGTAAAACTAAACAAGTGTTGAAAACGAGTAAGTGATTATATTATTTTATAAAACAAAAAAAAGGGGTATCAAAATTTTAAAATGGATTCTTATTCAGAATTTCTGGAGAATATACTCTTGACTTTTGATAATGTAATATTGATTAATATTTCCATACTTTAAAATTGTACACACATAAAATTAATTTTTCATCTGACTATAGTTGTATATTTGAGTTTATAGTAGGTCCACCTGATAGAGTAGATCCACTTTTCACAGGCTTTCTTAAATCAGGATAACTATTTATTTATTTTTTTTATTTTTTGAGTCGGAGTCTCACTCTGTCGCCCAGACTGGAGTGCAGTGGCCACTACCAGCCACCGCAGCCTCGACCTGCTGGGCTCCGGCGATCCTTCTGCCTCAGCCTTCCAAGTAGCTGGAACTACAGACACATTACCCATGTCTGGCTAATTTTTTAATTTATTGTAGAGATGAGGTCTCACCAAGTTGCCCAGGCA